CGTCCGCCCCCCGTCCGCCCCCTGTCCGCGGAGTGCAGGGCTGCGCTTGCTCCAGAGCTCAGGCGTCCTCTCCTCTGGCTCCCGCTGTCGGTCCTCTGCTGGGCCGTTTGCACGCCCAGCTTCCCCTGTGCGGCGGCATTGGGACCGCCCGCATCACTAATAATGACGCTGCGTGTCTGCGGGTCAGACGGGCTCCTGGGAGCCAGCCAGGCGGCGCGCCACGCTACATTGGAAGAGATAATGTTGTTCCTGGTGAAGGTTATTCTGCGGCCGAGCAGCTCTTTTCCCTCCATGAATCCCCGCTGAGGGACGGGAAGGCAGGTGCCTGGGTTCTCCAGGGCACAGCAGAGGTTCTGTAAGCGGCAGGAGGCAGGCTGGGGCCGGGGGTGGGAGGCAGTGGCTCCTGGCATTTGCGGAGTGGACACTGGCAGGCTGGGCAGCTGCAGAAGGGCCTCCTTCAAAGACTCATCACGCAGGACCCCACGGGGCTGGACCTGTGGTGTGTGGGACTCAGGAAGGAGCAGGTGCGGCTGTCGGGAGACCTCTTTCCGGCACAGCTCCAGGGCCCAGGGCCGTCTTTGTGCCGGGCAGCCTTGGGCTCACCTGGTCAGAACTGGGTTGGATCCCACCCTCTGCGCAGTGGTCAGCAGAGAGTTGACAGTGACCAGATGGCAGGAACTCATGACTGCTCAGCGTTGGAAGAGACAGCTCCTCAGAGTTAACCGCCCCAGGCAGACACGCCTTACAAACGTGGAGTTGTTCAGTCCACTCAGCCAAGACCAGCCTATGGGTGATGGGCTTCCAGGTGCGGCTCCCAGGCCCACTTCCCGCAGGTACAGGGCGTGGTGTGTGCCCTGCGAGCCTGTCCCCCGCTCCGCATCCTTAGATGAGGGGCGCTCGGCCCCAGACAAAAGCCATGATCCTGTGAGGTTGTGGGCACCCAGCATCCACAGGGAAGCACATGGGATTCCCCAAAGGTGGAACACACGCCAGGTGGGATGGGAGCGGTCCTCGTGTCGGAGCCCACAGACACATAGACTCACAGGGCGTGAAACACGGGAGACGGGAGGAGGCAGGGCAAGGTCATGTGTGCTCCTACCACCCACCCTCACTCCTGACATATGTGCGTGCACTGACGTGCACAGACACACACCACACACCTGTGCACATGTGCACAGACTCACACACTACACACATGCACACATGTGCACAGACACACATCACACATATGCACACACGTGCAGAGACTCACACACCACACACATGTGCACATAGCACACTCGGCACACATGCCACATGCATGCACACACCACACACATGCACACACGTGCACAGAGTCACACCACACACATGCACACACACGTACACACACCACACACATGCACATACTCACATGCCACACACATGCACACACACGTACACACACCACACACATGCACATACTCACATGCCACACACATACGCACATACCACACTCGGCACACATGCCACATGCATGCACACAGCACACACATGCACACACCTGCACAGACTCACACATCACACACATGCACACACGTGCACACACACACACCACACACATGCACACACCTGCACAGACTCACATGCCACACACTTGCACACACACGTATACACACCACACACATGCACACACATGCACAGACTCACACATCACACACATGTGCACATACCACACTGCACACATGCCACATGCATGCACACACAACACACATGCACACATGCACAGACACACACCACACACATGCACACACGTACACACACCACACACATGCACACACATGCCACACACGTACACACACCACACACATGCACACACATGCCACACACATGCACACACACACGTGCACACACCACACACATGCACACACGTACACAGACTCACACACCACACACATGCACACACTGCACAGACTCACATGCCACACACATGCACACACTGCACAGACTCACATGCCACACACATGCACACACATGTACACACACCACACACACGCACACATGTGCACAGACTCACTCACCACACACATGCATACACATGTGCACACACCACACACATGCACAGACTCACATCACACATGTGCACATATGACACTCGGCACACATGCCACATGCACACACACACAACACACATGCACACACGTGCACAGACTCACACACCACACACATGCGTACACACACCTGTGCACACACATGCACACATACACACATGACACATATGCACGTGAACTCACCCCACACACATGTGCACTTCCCCACACACCACACATGCCACATGCATGAACACACATCACAACACACACACACACACACACACATCTTTTTCTACCTTCCCGTGTATCTGGATTACAAATGGATAAGGCCGAACAAAGGCCGAGCTGGCGGTGCCGCAGGGAGCTATGAAGGGAGGGCTGATTCATTTGCAGGTTTGTCTTTGAACAATCTATGAAAAGAAAGTAAATAAACAGCATCTACACAAAGGGGAGCAACTAGTTGATTGATTGAAAATGAGACTTCTCAAGCATTTCAAGAGCATTTTAACTACCATAAATAATTTAAAGTTATTGTTACCTCTAAGTTTCTACCCATTAGCGTGGAGGCTCTGAGAGGTAATGTTTATAGCCCAAGGCAGCTTGGCTGCCAGGACAGAGCATGAAAGGCTTCCGGAAAGTCCAGAAAGTCTTGGCCTCGTCAGGCCGTCTCCTCTTCTCATTGCCTGCTGTGGGGGTTCTTACGGGGGGCAGGGGGAAGGAGAAGCTCCTACGTGGGGTGGGGACGTCCCTCTCTCAGGAATCTCAGGGGCAGAGCAATAATTTTCCCAGCGGCCAGGCGGTTTATTTCTCCAGGTCTGGGCCTCTGGTTGCTACAGAAAGGTGGTTGCTGCACCTCTGTAAGGTAGAAACCATTCGCTCCGCACCGCAGATGTCCTCTGGCCCTTGCTGAAGCTTCATTTCTTTTTCTCCTGAGGGCGGCCAGCTCCAGCCAGGATCCCAGCAGCTCCAGGTGTGGAGGAGGAGGAAACAGTGAACTTCCCCTTCCCAGGTGTTTCCAGGTCCACATGTCACGCTCAGCTTGGGTGGGGGGTGTGTGCTCCTGGGGGCTGTGTGCTCGTGTGCTCTTGGAGTGTGTGTGTTTGTGTGCACCCCTGGGGGGTGTGTGTATGCACACATGCACATGCCTGGTGTGTGCTTTTTACTTTCTCTATCCCAGATTTCAGAAGTAGTGATCAATAAATGGACTCATCTGGAAATTTTCCAGTTTGGGTCACCAGAGAACAGAAGCGACCTGTGTCAAAGCTTGGCTTGAGTCTCAAGCTGTGCTGGGGAGGGAGCACGGAGTCTGGGCCGAGCCCTCCCTAGTGCCAGCACACCCTCCTCCTAACATGCTCCTTCCACATCTAGAAGAGAAGGGGTCCAAGAGAGGGCATTGACCTTCACTCTGGTCCTGACACCAAAAGACTGTGATGCTGCTTTTGCTGAAAAACCTCCGTTTCCAGTACGGTTAATTATCATGCTGTCTGGGAAGGGCTGTGTTTCCCAGGCTGATGGCAAAGTGCACGGAGTCCCTTGCAGACCCTTCCCACTGCCTCTTGTTGGTCTGACCAGCAATCCCAGGGTCACCTCACCTCCTCCCCATCCCACGACAACAGGAGTGTGCTGACCTCTTCCTGGTTGAAAAAGGAGCCATCTGCCAGGTGGTGTTAAAATTTGAGGAGCTGTTCAGATGGTGTGGAATGTCTTGTCCTCTTTGTTAAATGCCTGACAATTTGCTGTGAACATACAGGCCAGCTCCTGCAGCCACACACTCCCGGATCCTCACCCCCACAGTCAGCTCCCGAGACGCTGCTCAGATCCCTTTCCTAAACCAGCCTGGTGCCATCCTGAGGAGTCTCCTTGGCCCCTTTCCAATTTCATGTGCCAGAAATGTTTGCACAGGAGGGGCTCCTATCCAGCCCTTTCCTTATTAAATACTTGTACAAACCATGCTCTAAGACACCATGACCATTGCTCTTTCTGGTTTGATGAAAAAACAAAGGAAGGAGAGGAGAGAATAGTTCAAGAAAACTGGTTAATTTCTTGGAATCCCTAGGGTTCTCAGTCCCACAGACATTACTGACACTTTCCTGCCCTTTTGGTAAGGAAGGGATTCCTGGTGAGGATGAGACTCCAGGGAAGACTAAGATTCCAATTAAGGATGGAACTGAAGATGAGAATGGGACCAACCAGGTTGGAAACAGATCCAACCAGGAAATGCCACAGGTGAGGATGAGACTGCAGGTGAGGATGGGACTGCCGGTGAGACTAAGTTTCCAGATGAGGGTGGGAGCACAGGTGAGGATAGGATAGGATTTCAGGTGAGGATGACACTGAAAGTGAGGATGGGGCCACAGGTGAAGATGGGATTGCAGGTGAGGGTGGGACTGCAGGTGCGGGTAAGATTCCAGGTGAGGGTGAGACTGCAGGTGAGGATAGGATTCCAGGTGAGGATGACTCTGAAAGTGCAGATGGGGCCACAGGTGAAGATGGGACTGCAGGTGAGGATAGGATTCCAGGTGAGGATGACACTGAAAGTGCGGATGGGATCACAGGTGAGGATGGGACTACAGGTGTGGGTAAGATTCCAGGTGAGGGTGGGACTGCAGGTGCAGATGAGACTGCAGGTGAGGGTGGGACTGCAGATTACAGTAGGACTCCAGGTAAGGATAGGACCTCAGATGAAGACAGGATTGTAGGTGGAGATAGGATTCGGGTGAGACCTTCAAATGAAAAGGATTCCAGGTGAGGATAGGATTGCAGATGCAGGTGGGACTGCAGGGAAGATGGGGATTCTGTAGGGGACTGAGAGCAGACACTGTCTCTCCAGGTAAGACAAACAGACCCTCCCAGATGACTCCAGGTATCTCAGGGTTTGGGGACAGCGGGGGACCCCTGCACACAGAATACAGGGGCCTTTGTGCACTTTGGGGAAAGGAAGCCGCTTACTTAGAGTGTCTTCATCCTCTGTGTTTGTGGTGCCAGGACTCAGGTGCTTGAAGGGAGCGAGGAAGGTTGACAATATGCTTACTTTATCTGGAAAGAAAAGAACAGGAAATGCACTTTTGACATGGAGTTTCAGAAAAACGCAATGCTTTTAGAAGTTCTTATTACTGAAGGTTGGACAAGGGACGTGGAAAGGTCACTTTGGTTTCAGCCATTTCATTCTGGTTCAGTCTTTTATTGAATATCTGACAGCATTTTATCAAATTCCTTTCTCCACTCAATTTAAAATTCTACGATTTCCGTCTTTCTCCTTCTCTTATTTTGGCATCTCCCTTCACCTTGCCCAAGTCCCTTAAAACTTTAAGCAGCTGTCTCCAGGGTAGCAACCTTGCAACTGTTTACAAGATCCCGGGTAGGGCAGAGCCTTCCGTCGAGATCATTTCACAGAGATGGGCTAAAACAAGTAAAACGATCTCACAATTAAAAGAGAATGGTGCAAATAAAGCCAAGACTATCTTTCCCTATTAGTGCAGAATTTGCTTTCTGGGCTTGACATGCATTAAAAATAAAGGACCTGTCACTTAGCGGGCGTTTGGCAGAAGTAGAGGAGGGGAGGAGGGAGCTAGTGGTGTGGGCAGAGCACGCAGTCCTCCCAGAAATGGCCAAGCGTCCTCAATACGGTGGCTGGAATTCCAGGGACTGCCTCTGCCTGAAGCCTGTGGCCGGGTGAGCAAAGGCCAAGCAGGTCTTGCCTCCTGGGTCCCCACCACTCAGAGTACAGCACGATTGTGGAAACAGATCCAACCAGGAAATGCCACTCCTCACCAATAAAGTATGCTGTTTTACTCCCATGGTCTCAGCAATTTATTTCATCAATAGCGAGATTAAGGAATGGTGGGTTCGAGGTATGATTGAGAGAAATAAAAATGACTAATAAAGGGATCCGAAAGAAAAGCTCCTTATTTTGGAGATTTCCACCACCTAAATTAAACCACTGCACTGGGGAGTATTGGTCCACACGTAGAACTCACTGCACTGCAGAGGAGACACCAACAGAGACAGAGCACAGGGAGCCCCTGGCTCCCAGACGTCCTCCAGTCTACACGGTTCGCATGTGCCATTATGAACCTGGACCTCATTGATTAAGAGGCCCCAGGTGGAAATCTCAGCGTTGCTCATGCAACACGGTGCAGAGTACGACAGAAGCGTGTCCTAGCGTCCCTGCCGTCCAAGTTCCAGGGCACTGGCTGTGGGATCGGCTACTTTGCTACGCGGGATCCTTCCCTCTCCTTCGGAAGCTGTGGACACCCACGGGCGGGATTTCCCAGGAGGTCACTGAGTTTACATCACCCTGTAATGAGGACAGCTGTCCACAGGTGCCCCACCATGGCACTGTATATCTCCCTGAAGTGTAATTTCTCAAGAAAACATGAGCTGCTGGTTTCATCTGCCCTTGGCCTTCAGGCATCCAGACCCAGCCTGAAACTGGCTCTTTTTCTTTTGAAGCTGAGCCTGTTTTCTCCTTAGCCAAGGTTTTCAGAGGCCAGGAGAGTTCACACTGAAATTCATTCGGGAGCCCGTTAACAGCTGTTGTTTCCAGTAGGGACGGGCAACAGAGAGAACAATAAATAACTCAAATATAAAATGCCTGTGCCTTCTTTGTTCTACCAAACAAGAATAAACCAGGGAAGGGTTTGCTCTTCTAAACCCTCGCAGCCCAAACTAATTTACTACAAGAGAATGAAATATCTTGCTTGAGTTATAATTTCATTAAGGGAGTCCAATAATGTTACACTAAGAGTGTGAAGCTCAAATGATTTAGTCTGGAGGATCTCAAGATGAAATTACATTTTTAATAAAGTAAGGCTACCAGCCAAACACTCACACAAGTGCACTAAACTATTCCAGACTTTACTTTAGCAAAATCGTAAGATATTTAAGGATTGTTTTAGATCTATCAAAGTTTTTACTTTCTGATGTTGCTAGATTTATCAAATAAAAATTCAGGATATCCAGTTAAAATTGAGTTTTACATAAACAGATAATTTTTTGGTATATAGGCATTTCTAATATTGTGTGGGACACACACACAAATATATATCTGTGTACATATATATATGTATATACACACACACACATATATATACTTAAAAACCTTATTCATGGTTTATCTGAAATTCAGTGGAAGGCAAAGGACTTCAATAGACATTTCTCCAAGGAAGATGTACTAATGTCAATAAGCACATGGAAATGTAATCAACATCACTAATCATTAGGGAAATGCAAATCCAAACCACAATGAAATATCATCTCACACCCATTAGGATGGCTATTAGAAAAACAAAGCAAAATCAGAAAATAATGTGTTGGTGAGGACACGGAGAAATGAGAGCCCTCTGAGGATGTGAAACGGGGTAACCGGCAGGTCAATGCCCAAATAATTGAAACTCAGAGAGATAACTGCACCCTCATATCCACGGCAGCATCGTGCACCAGAGCCTAGAGGTGGAAGCAGCTCAAGTGTCCTCAGTGGATGAGTGAAATGCAGTACAGCCAAGCAACAGAAGATTAGGCAGCCTTAAAAAAAGGGAAATCCTGCCATTTGCAATGAGCGTGCATGAAACTGGAGGACCTCATCCTAAGGGAAATAAGCCAGGCATAGAAAGACAAATACTAGCGCATGATCTCTCTCATATGTGGAATCTAAAAAAAGTTGAATTCATAGAAGCAGAGTAGCATGGTGGCTGCCAGGGTCCATGGGGTGAGGGGAGAAGGGAGAGAGTGAGGAGATGTTGGTCTAAGGTACAAACTTCCTAGGATGAATGAGTTTTGGAGTCTTAATGTGCCGCATGGGGACTCTGGCTAATAACACATATTGTCCACTTGACATGGGATAAGAGAGCAGATTTTAAGCATCCTCATCCCCCACAATGGTAACTATGGCTGGTGACAGATGTGTTAATTAATTTGTGGTGATCATCATTACACAACATATATATCAAATCATCACATTGTACACCTTGAATATATTCAACTTTTATTTGTCAATTAAACATTTTAAAATTAAAAGAAACACGTAAAAAACAACGGCAAAACAAAATCAAATGTAACTGGGTGTCCTGTATTTTCTCTGACACTCCCAGTTGTGCCTAACCAACTTTTCTTTCCGCTAGTGCAGCGGACTTTAGATTTCATGGGACAGCTTGAGCAACCGAACTAAAGCAAAGGAAACAGAAAGCCAGCAGTATTGCTAACACTTATCTATTGCTAACAAGTACACCTGAAATTCCAGCTATGCTCTGCAATCATCGTGAAGGCACGTAAGCTCTGAGAGAGAAGCGATTATTTCTAAGAAAGGGCAGACCGCGTCTTTAGAATGTTCTTGGAAAAGGACGTGAAGAATTCCATTTTTAATACAGAAAAAGTATGACAGAAGTTCTTTGGCTTCAGGGCCTCTCTTTGCGGTTTCCTCCGAACCCATTGTCCCTTTGGGATCTGATCTATATTCTATTAGTTCAATATGAGTAGAACTCTGATATTCAGATAATTCGATTTTTTGCATGTTTTTCATTGTCATCTTTTGAAAATCTGGTTTTACTCAAGCTTCTGATGAAAAAAGGAAGCCATACTTTTTTTTTTTTTTTTTTTTTGTGCCTCCATTCTGGACCTTTTGGGTGTGCCGGAGAAGCTGCATCGCAGGGCGCCCCATGCTGCCGCTGCCTCCCCACCCTCTGGGTAACGCCTAGAAGAGTGGGCTGGGCTGGCTGGCTGTTCCTCTAAAAACGTCAGGGGTCAGCTGGGCAGTCTCCACGCCTCAGCTGCTCACATCCTGGGTTCTTGAGCTTGGGCTCCCATTATCGAATATGGACCAGCTGGAAGCTGACCCAGAGGATGCAGTGACCCGGGGCCAGCCCTGGTCTAAGAGTCAAGAGTCATTTTCAGGAAAGGTCGATGGCTGTTTTTAATGCATGGCTTGAAAGTTCCAGGACACTTGCTTTATAAATCTTGTTACTCACTGTGGAATAAGCAGCATTTACTTGAAGCAGTTTTATGTATTTTAGGGGCATCTGGGTGAGCATCTGGAGGGCACAGAAGCCCTTGCCCGGAACCAGGTACGGCTGTGAATTGCAGTTGTGGCCTCTGCAGCACTGAGGCTCTGTGGTTATCGCCGGTTTTTCACATTATAACAGTTTGGGAGAACTACGACACTGTCAGGGCTGAGGGAAAGAGACACCCACTGGAATAATTTGTAGGTATTTTCAGATGTCCTAATCATCTTGTTTAGAAATAAAATGTCCTGAGTTAATAGTCTACTTATTGTTTCGTGTTAACATCTTGGGGTGAGGATTATCCTTGAGTGAGATAGAGAAAAGCAATGGCTTATTTTCCCTGAAAGGCACTTGTGGCTATGCCAGCAGTTTTTCATTCAATATCACGAGTCCCCTGAATTCATGGCCTTCCCCGGAATGCTTGATGTGAATTATCAGGTTTTAAGAACATGTGGTTGAAGTATTAGGTGTTAGTGTACTTTGCAAAATCAAAATAACTGCACATATTGAGGATACGTGGTTACTTCGTCATTAGTCACACTGCATAATCACTGGGACACGTCTTAGCTTTCTTGACGTATTTATTCCAGGTAAAGAATCTGAGACATTGAGAAGTTAGTGGATGTGCCCAGGACTATCTATAAGGTCCTCAGCACGTCCCAGGCTTCCAGGCTGCAGTTGCCTTCCGCACTGAGCAAAAGCTACTTGAGGAGATCTTCATCTTCCTATCTTTTCCTGCCTGAGTAAAGTTTATCCTTGTAGTGTCTGATGAATGTTCTGGATTTTTCTTCCTTGCCTTGCCTTTGTTAAATTTTATTTAACCTTTTATGTTTCATTTGTCATATCTTTAAAATCAGAATAGCATCTTTGTTTCTAGGGCCACAAAAGGAAGAAGGGTGCAATAAATAGTTTTTAATTCAAATATGAAAAGCATTTAAATTTAGGGTCTGGTTAATATTTTGTAGAAAAATCAAAGGTACTCTCCTCTCTGCAGAAGTAACCACATACAATGTATTCATAAACAAGTTATCGGGGTTGGCT